AGCCTGAGCACATCTTTGAAAGCCGGCGCATTCTTCTTAGCTCCGGATGTGCTGATGGCCCCAGATTGGAGGTAGTTGACATTGGCTTCGAGAACAAGAGTATGGTCTAAACGCCGCACTTCGAGGCCATCGCGAGGGGCACATTCAACAAGTATGTCATAGAGCCTATTGAGATCTGCAATCATACCCTCCTGAGCGAGGAAGTCAAGCATCACAACCCATGCAAGCTGGTCAGGGCGAGGGGGGACAAGGGAAGATTCATGCGGATGCCGGGCTGCTTCACCCTGCTGTAGCAGGCGGTCAAACCAGGACAGAGCACTTGTGACGTCTCCCGAGTAACAGAAACCAGCAATGATGGACGAGAACGTGGACGAAGAGGGCGAGGGAACCTCCGGCGAGAGTTCAGCGGGGTTGGCATTGCTGTCCATCATGGTTTCCAGGAGGCGGAGAGCACCTGCAGGCTGGCCACCACGGAAGTAAGCTTCAATCATTTTGTTCCAGACAAGTAGTTGTCCCCGAGTGATCGAGCTGGCTACGGCTGCTTCAGGAGCTGCGGAAAAATCAAGCCCTTTGACGCGGCCTGCCTTGCTAGCTTCCCTGAACTCTTGGAAGACCTCCTTAGCGCCCTGCAGATCATTTGCATTGGCGTATACAGAAAGCAGATTCAAGAAGACTTGAGGGCCAGGGAGGAAATCAGTGCGCGATTCCAGCTGCGCAAATACGCGAATGGCAGCATCCACATCAGCTTGGAATGCACATGATCGGAGAAGATTGGTATAGATCGCGAGAGGGAACTTGTTGCGTGCGCCAACGTTCAACGCCGCGTCAAACATAGACATGGCAGTGGCAAAGTTGTTCTCTGCCTTGAGCTGCTCAATGCGCTTCTCATCTGCTTCATTCAGAGCGACCTCCTGGCGACCAATAAGCTTGCGGCGCTTGACGCGACCATCAAGAACTCCAATAGACTTGTGGACCTCGTAATCGCGCTCTGTAAGAGCGAGAATAAGAGAGATGTAGGTGCGAACATTTGGCTTGAGGGAGCGTCGGATCATGTCATTGTATGTCTCGAGTAAGAGTGTAAGGGGTTCACCAGGGCGACGAGTTTCGTGGAGACCAGATAAGGCCATGTTGAACTCTGAAACCATGGGGTTCTTATGAGTTGTGCGGAGGATATGAACTTCGTGGATGACACTGGCACCATCACCAGACCGCGCTGCCCGACGAAGAGACTGATACATTGCGGAAACTTTACCTCTCTCATCGTCTACAGCTGGGTCTGCCACGGACTGCGGGGCTGCCGGATCAGTGGGTATGGATTTGCCAGATACTGAAGGGACCGGAGGCGGGGGTAAATCATCAATGGAACCTGACGCACTCAGTGAGGCTGTGGAATTACGCCGTGTGAGAGCCCGCGAAGAATCAGAGGGAGACTCGTCGAGCGCTTCGCCGGATGCAGCGAACGTGTGTTTTGAACGAACGTGTAGTTGGACGGTGTGCAAGACTCCTAAAGAGTCTTCTTGTCCATGCTCGTGCTCACTGAGTGTACCAAGAGAGAGACTGTGCCGACGGGTAATGGTACGCTTGGAAGAGCGGGGCTCGACGCGCTTGGGAACGATTTCGTCGCGCTCATCGCTCTGTTCAGCGTTCCCATCATGTGAGGTAGACGCATTTGCTTGTGTCACAGCACGCCCGGCGCCCTAGAAGTTATCAGGATCATATCAGATCTCAAGATGCACAGCAACTGACCGTATACCCGTTATAGAACCGACTACCTGCATTGAATTTTGCGCCGCCCGGGCCAGCACCATTGCTGCCCCAGCTTGAGCTGCCGGCACCAGTCCATGCTGTAGGGGCGCTTGGTGCAGATGACTGAAGTTGGAGTACGTTACGGAGGGTATGACCTGTCTGGTTCTGGACGGCGGCTACTGCACGAGAAGTGTGCAGAAAGAAGTGATTAGCGACCTTGGGGAGCATGGTCGCGATTGCGAGCCTGTGCTAAACGTCGCACAATTTGAGCTTGGTGGTCGTCGAGGACGACGAGTAAAGGAGTTGTTAGCACTTAGCTGGGAAATGTGGATCTAATGAATTTGCGATGATCCAATAAAAGTAAAAATTGTTACTCGGGTGATCTCGGGTTGGATGCGCGCGTGATTTGCCGTGACTCCATCATGCCGAGCATCTGCATCAACGCAAGTCATATATAGTATCTACGCGGCAGTACACCTCAGTATTTGATATACAGTAGCAGACAGAATCCGTGTGAGAGAAAAAAATTGAAGATTTTGCTACAATTAAGCCTCATGGCCATTAGCCATTCCGGCAGCCATGCCCACTGCCATTGCGTTGCCCATCTGCACCCCAGTCCCGTCTGTAGGCACGAAAACAGTCTTGTTGCCAAACGCTTGGACACGCGTGACTTCCACTCTACGCATCTCCATCCCGCGTGCGAATTGGTCGGTGACCTTGGCATCAGCCGCCGCTCTGATACTGACTGCTTGTGCGTCGGCCTCAGCGGTAAGACGGATAGCTTCCGCTTCTGCAAGAGCCTCGATCTTTGTACGCTCAGCTTGGGCTTTGGCAGCGGCAATAACACTATATGCCTCGGAATCGGCTTGCGCCTATTAAAAAAGTTTGTTATGAGCAGCTTAGAAAATAAATTGATACCGACATTACGACTTTGAGCCTTAATGCGAGCAACAGCGAGAGCTCCTTCTTCCTGTTTGACTTTATTCGAGTTTTCTCGGTCAACATTCTGCAGCATATAAATGAGAGGAATGACTATATCAAAGAGGATGAAACTTACAGCAGCCTCGACCTGCGCCTGTAACGCCCTTGTTGTAAGCTTGTCCATGGTTGACGCAATGTCTCCCTTGAATTCACGGTCGATCACGGCTAGAGTACGGTCAGCTCCAAATGTTACTTGTATTGAAACGCCCCACGCTTACCAAGATCCTTCAAAATGATTCCATACTCGAGTGCGGCCTCGTGCATCTCATCCATGGCCCTGGTACGAAGAGCGTCAATGAATGCAGATGAAGGGTCCGAACCGTCTTCGAGGTTGTCAGGTCCAAGAGAGCGCTGCTTCACCATGGTGCCGTAGTCAACTACAGTGCGTGAGTCAAACTATTACACAAGAATAATCGATGGACATACGATGAGCGACAATCTGCGTGAGGATGGACTGGGTTTTGTCACGGAGCGCATCATAGGGGGTGTTATAGCCATGTGTGGTAAGCTGCAGACGAAGTGAGCAATAGCTGACGAAAACCAATTTGTCGAAAGGCGCACCTTCAGGGGTTCCATTAATTGCCTAGCAGTTTTATGAATAAATCAAGTCATCAGATGCATCATTCTCACTACTCACCATTTCAGATAGATCCTCAAGCCGACAGGCACTTGGTCTCTCGTGTAACTGGAGGCCAGCAATGTGAGATAGGGTATCAGTGGCCGAGCGAATTACTTACATATCCTTTGTGGGCAGCTCGAGCTGATTCTCGCCGAGCGTAAACAAACCACGCAGTGTGACGTTTGGATTTGTTATATAATGTTGTCCAGCAGGGAGTAACTCGAGATCGTCTCCACGCTGGAGAATGGCACAGTTATTTGCCGGGATGTTCAAGCTGTGCACCATAAACAATCAGAACAAGAATATTGGAAAGGAGGGCGGATTAACAATAATGCCACAACGTATTCCTGTTCTTTGCCTGAAGCGATGTGACTCCGCATCTTAATTTCGGCAATCCTGATCGAGATTCAAATGAGCATCATGAACAAGATGGGGTGCAGAGGTACGTACGAGCCAAGGATAGCGTCTGTTACTGTGTCCCTGATCTCAGTAGACAAATGGGTCTGGTCGACGACAGCCAGAACGTCGTATGTTCCATCAATTGCGTACGCAACAAATCCTGAATTTTTAACCACAAAAATGCGATTTTGTGGATCAGAAATGACAGCCGCTTGGTTCTGGGATACCTGAACGACTGCTAGACCTTGAAACTGGATCGCAGTGTCCGAGACTGATGGCTGCCTTTCAGTATGACATCGTGTAGAACATCATCGCACGCACGTCCTTTGGTACCGCACCATTGACGAGACCACCAATTACGGAGGGGGAATCCAGGGTATCGACCAGGCTTGGTCAATATCTTGGGGAGACCACCGTGCTTGATTAAACCAAGGAAACCTGGAGAAACTTCCCTACCGGTCCACGAGACAGGGACCTAGTAGTGATAATGTAAACCGCAAATGTCACACTGAGAAATTCAAGTTCACCTTGCTTGACAAGAGACCCGGTCGCCCGGACTGTTGTAGGTTAACACAGTGAATACCAGGTTGATGTACCAATCAGGGTACTCACGTCTCGAAGTTGCCTGTCAATTCTTTTAAGTGCAGCAATGATGCCGTCCTTAGCGATAGGTACGAAAAACGGACGTTCTTCCAATGCATAGTCTGCGGTTTTGGAGAATTCGTGCAAAGACACCCTTTCAAGGTTTTGGGGATGCGTGCCAGTCGAATGAATGTCATGGCTTTCGTCGATGTGGTCCGATTTCTTGAGGTCTTCGTGTTGTACAGGGTAGGAAGGACCACCAATGACGGTGTCGATATCTTCTTCGTTAATTCTGGTACTCATTTAGTTAGTCGGTCTGACGTTCTTGTTGAGGTTGTGTGTTGTGGGGATACATTATACGATCCCGTATATATATACTAAAAAAAAGGGGGAATGTGAAACTGTGGGCGCTGTACAGTGGCGGTGGGGCCATGATGATCCTAATAATCATTGTGAAGGTTGCTTTGGGGTGCCTCCCGTTGGTCCAGTTGTGTCCTATTGTCTCCCGTCAAGGCCTCTCATTGTGCCCCGACAGGACCGTTTTTTCTCCCTTTTTCATTTTTTCCACAACCTTCTCCTGTCACCACAATATTGTCTCCCTATCCGTAATTGTACCATATGTTCCATTTTAATTTTGTTATCAATAAGGAAAACACTCGAATCTAATCACTTATCTGTTGTCCCCACATGTTTTTGATGTCATGTACATATACAGTCAGCAAGGTCGTGCTAAGTTCCCAACGCGCAAACCACGCGAGCGCCCGAGTCTTCTTGAAACCGTTCTCCTTTACTTCTCAGATCGCACAACAACCAACATGTCGCTAGTAAGTATGTACAGGCAACAGGCAACAGGCAACTACTCATCACATGACACGCCAGTCCTGGGACAAAACATCTACCCAAGTGTGTGTCTCATCCTCCTCGGCAGGTTCTGTCACATCTATCAGTCCACCGAATGAAACTTGAACAGGCCGCTGTAAACGGGTCGTAGTGAGATGTGCGGAAGATACAGATGTCACGCGGGCGACTGTTATCAGCATCTCGGGAGTCCACGTCATAGGATTGATGGCAAGAGCCTGAGCGTGCAGATGAGCATTCCTGTGCACTTGACTGATGAAAGAAGCCCACCTTGTATGCAACAATGTTGTCTACTGCCACTTGTAACGCGCTAGTGATTTTTGGAAGTAAGTCCCACTGCTGGTCCGCACGAAGGTAAGAGACTTCGTCTGGGTTTGCCATCGGCACTTCAGCCGAACCGTAATCGAGACTGAAATCGGCGGTGCACGATTCATTGTCGTAGCAAGCCGTGGCAAGCTCCTCTTTTGATCTCCGTTTCTTCTTCGGCCGTTTACCTTCCTCTACATCTACACTTGTCACGAATATATTCGATGGCAAGCTATTCCGTTCCGAAGGAGGAATCAGCCTTGCGTGCTTGATGGGAGGCACTGCAACCTCTTCTAAATTTGAAGTTCCAGCAGGTACAAGCTTATCTGGAGGCTCAGCTTGTGCGGGGGCATTTTCAAGCTCCGAAAACACGATCTTTGGAGGGAGGGGTTTGTCCATAAGCTGGCGGAAATTCTTTTTCTTATTTTTATTCCGCAGGGACACCATCATCACGTTGGGCTCAGACTCGGGCTCTGCATCTACAACATAGACTTCAGAAGAGGTATGGATTGAGGAGTTCTGCTGAATGGAAAGGGGTAGGACAGCATTAGCACCAGATATGGGTGCTAAAGGTTTGTCTTGATTGTGCTCCGCCACACGTTTTCGCCGTCTGCGGAGATTGCGATTGCGGGTGGAAGGCCTACCGTAACCTGGGGGGACAAACGAGATGCTAGTGGATCTGCGTGAGTGACGAAAAGAGTCGAACAGTTCTCGTACTTGTCTTGCACAGTTTTTGATTTTGTAGTTGCGTTCATGCATTTCCCTGACTCAGAGGGCTGCCGTGAGGGTTTTGGAACCTCATCCGTGTTTGAATCGGAGTCCAAGTCTGAGGAACTGGATGAGTCGGATAAGCTGGATGAGTCGTCAGATGAGTCAGAACTTGAGGATGAGCTGGACGAAGGTTCCGAGGATGTAGATGCACGGCGTTTACGCTTCTGAGTGGCAGGCAAGGGCACCCTGTTACTCGACAAACCAGCTTGGGATGTTGCTGCTGCGCGTTTGATGCTGTCAAGGACATGAGCTCACCGCAGTAAATGGCGCACTTTTATGCTCACCAAACAGCGTCCCCATCGCGTAAAATCGATATAGGACTGTCGTCCAGAAGGTCATACTCGTCCATCACGAGAGTGATGTTATCGGCTTGCATACCAATGGGCAGCCGTGTACATAGCGCGCGTTTGAGTTGCGCGATTGTGTGGGCCTCATCGTCTAGAGCAAACCATGCTTTGAACGGGCCCAACGGATGAATTGTCGAGATTTTGAGTCGCATGATGACAGCGACAGTTTAAACACCGAGCTTACGTTGAACCTCCGCAACATCATAATCATGATATTCCTTCAGAATGATCAATGCCTAAGGTTTATTTTTTGCAGCTTTGCTCATGTCTTAGATCTAGGGAACGTTCATACATGTACAGGCCTCGAGACTAATAAATGTGAATGTCAAAAATCAGTAAGTAGGAAAATCTTAATGATGAATGATGGTCTAGAATCTAGAATCTAGATGTCCCACGGGTGTATTTACTTTATGCACTTACTTCTCCTCAAGCCACGTCGACTTTCGTTCAAACTCGTTTCTTTCTATTTTTTTTGGACGGACTGGCACTTAATCGTTTGTCGCTAATCTGCGGCAATGGCGAACTATCACTATGATGAGGCAGGCAATATGGCCGCCTATTTCGTCATTTCTGTTCTTGTTATTATTCTGCTGCCTGTCACACTCTCATCACTTGCAAGCGTGTCTTCCAGTGAGCATGTTTCTTTGTTCTTGCGAATTTGACTAAAAAATGTCCAGAACGCCCAGAGCTGGATAACGGGTGCCAATGCACACCCTGTATACAGCGTAGAGCCGACGTGAGGAAGCACCAGCGTGGCTCCCTGCTCCGACCAAAGTTTACCCCAAAGTGAGACATTTGCACGGTTCTGAATGCCACTCACGCTCTAAAAGGGCACTATTAATCACCGTGGGCTGGGCTGCTGTCGTCTTCCTCTCATTCAAAGCTGCACATGCAGAAATAGAAAACAAGGTCTATAATCCATTCGAGATCCTTGCAATCGGTACGGTATGTAGAACACAATATACCCGCTCTCTTTGGTTGCTCATCTCATGCAGGGAGCAACGGAGAAGGAGATCAAGTCGCGTTTCAAAGAATTATCACGAATATAGTACGCGTCTGAATTCTTATACTATGCATGAAGCGTACAAACTCATCATTCTCAGTCATCCCGACAAAGTCAAAGCAACCATTAATGAGACAGTAGAGGACATCGCTAACCGTTTCGTGGACATTACCAAGGCGTATAAGTCGTACGTCGTATGTCGAATTCGTAATCAGGTGTGATCCCACTAACACCATTCAAGATTAACAGACGAGACCATTCGCCGCAACTGGGAACTTTTCGGACATCCCGATGGCCGACAAGAAGTCTCGATGGGGATTGCTTTGCCAAAGTGGGTTATTGAGGGCAAAAACAATATCTGGGTCCTCGGTGTATATGGCATTCTCTTCGGTGGCGCACTCCCCACGCTTGTGGTATGTTTCCCCGCAATCGCCTCACCTTGATTGGTCCTTACAAAGCATAGGGTCGCTGGTGGTTTGGTAACCGTCAAAAAACAAAAGATGGGATTCATGCAAAGACCGCCGCTGCGTTCTTCAAGGCGCTCACGGACAACAGCGGCATGAAGGAGGTCATTAGTGCGCTGGGCCAGGCATACCGCTGGGAGACTACGTGGGCAGGCACTGCAGTTGGATTAGAGGAGCTCGAGAAACAGATCGATGAAAAAATGGGCGATCAATGGAGGGAGGTAAAGGATCTCGTGGCTCCTGATGGAAAATGCGAAGGGACCAAGCAGCGGGCATTGGTATTGTTGTATGCGCACTTCTTAAGGTTAAAAATCAACGATGAGGCGCTTAAGCAAGGTAGGTTTGATTTTCAGGATGGAATGACGTTTCTGATTGTTTGCGCGTCCAGAACAAGCCAAGTTATTATTGCAGTCTCCGATGCTGCTCAACGCACTGCTAGGAATCTCGGCTGCACGGAGTTGGTTAATACCCACCTTGATGGTGATGCGTCTGCACGCCTACGTCACACAAGCTCTTCTCCCTGGAAAAACTGTTGCACCACAAGCTCAATTACCTGGCTTCGATGGTGATGCTGATGAATCAGAAGGGAAAGACCTTGCCTCGTTCATATCACGACTCGAGGACAATGGAGACATTCGGAAAACGGAAGCACGGAAGGCTGTCGAGGGTTGGAGTCGGTTGGATGTTGTGGATATGTCTTTCAAGGGTTTGTTCTTCATTGTGATCATCAACTCGATACTTATTTCACTCTAGTTATCGGTGAACGCTTGGTCACACCGTCATCTATCGTTTTCCTCCTCGTTAAACTGCGTCTTCGTCAGCCACTTCAAACCGATTCACCCTCGTCTGTTTCGGAAAAATCTGCAAAGGCCATCCGGGAGGACAGGGAAAAAGACGACAAATTTTTGAACAACCGAAAGGATGCGGAGGATATCGAGGGGGCGACACCTGTGTGGGCTCACGCACCTCACTGGCCAGGGGTCTGTCTTTTCCTTTGGTGTCATCTCTGCATGTCTGATTGCAACATTCACAGCTGCGCAAGCCAGGCTGGTGGCTTGTCCTTGCTGATGACAAGTCGAACAGAATTGTTGTTCCCCCAATGAAGATCTCAGACGTACCCGCGTCGAGCCCCGGGAAGGAACGTGACTACCGCTCTTACAAGTTACAGTTCCAGGCTCCCCCCAACGTGGGCTTGTTCACTTGGAAGGTATACCTGGTCAGCGATACGCTTGTAGGTGAGGAGTTGTGCCGTGACATTTCGGTAAGTTCTCGTTTGACTTTGCAGTGTCGCGATGACTGATGTAGCACGCAGCTCAAAATCGACGACATATCTGCACTCAATGCGGAGGAGCAAACCGCGGAGGATGAGATTTCTGATCCTGAGGAGGATACGTTGGCCGGTCAGATGGCTGCAATGCGCGGAGGAACTGTAAAGCGCACAGCTGCGCCTGAGGACAGCGAGGACGAGAGTTCGACCGATGAGGAGCAGCATGGTGATGATAGTTCAGATAGCGACTAGATGTTGCATATCTTGTCTGATTAGATTACACGTTTTGGTATTTTATCTGCCTCCTCTCCTCTTTACAGTAGTAAAGCCATCCTCGTCGATGTCTGGTACTTCCTTTGCATGGTCAAGCAGCTGTGGGACAACCTCCTTCCCGAAATCTTCGCTGTCGCTTCCACTTTCATCCTCGTTATCACCATCGCTATCTTCCCAATCACTTGCACTCCCTGCATCCACTTCATATTGTGGCATTTTTCCTTTCGTCCGATCCGCTTGCATCTCCAGATCCTTGACATATCCATCCTTTCCCTCTTTCGCATCGTTCCACAAACGCACAACATCTCTAGCAACGTCGAACGCGCTTCCATCCTCGAGCGCAACTTCAAACTCGTCATCCATGATCTGGAGCAGCATCGTTTCTATGTATTCGGTGTCTGGTTCAGGGAGCGTGTGTGATGGATGCATGGGGGTTGACTGATGCAAATCGAAAGCCGTCAATGAAGCGGATGCCGATGGAAGGCATGCTTCAAATTCATCTATGATGATACCCGCTAACCAGCGCTGTTTTTGTGCGCTTTGCGGACCTCCCCAATTTTGGTGCACAGCAATGCGAAGAGCTGGCCATAGCGCGAGGCGGGCTAGTATGCCACGCGCGAATAAGACTGATATGGGCGACGTGTCTGAAGCCATCGCAAAGGGTGAAAGATGAGTTGGATCGCTTACTAAGCGATCCGTACTTAGATATTATACTAGTGCGCTGAAAGAGTAACTGCGACGCTCCACATGCAAAATCTAAGACAACTTGAATCGATTCAATACTGGTGCCGGCAGGCCTCATAGACAGGACAGGTCGCTAGTCTACTCAACTTGCGTGCCTCATCTCCTATTATTATCCTCGAAGATAAGTACATATGATGTGATAATACACATGTTCGTATGTCGAGCAAGGCACGTTGATTGCTAGAAGATGCTAAGTAGTGGAACATAGATCTTACAGGCGATCTGTTCGCCTCCCGATGTTGCGATGACTTACAATCACAGGTTGGCGAAAACTGTCATCTTTTCGTTCGTAGTCAAAATAAGTTCAATTGTTTGTAGCTTTCTGCATGCACCGTGGCGGGGCGGGGACGGTAGCGGATGATCTACCCGTCGATACTCATCGGATCTGCATTCGTTGTGTGTGCATTTTTCAAGCCGAACTGACCGCAAAGCCTTTTCAAGGCACAAACCGAGCGAGAATCCCGTCGAGCTACCTCTTGATCTTTGTTATTTCCGTCTCGAAAAGTGTCGGTGTTGATAAAGATCTCAAAACGAATCGATTAAAATCCAGAGCCATATTGTTGTCGACATATATCGTTACACGTGTCTCCGTCGACTCTCGTTGAATCACACGCTCAGCGGCCGTCCGGTCTTGGTTCTGATAATCACAAAGATCAGCTCAAGTCATACTTCGTTGAAAAACATTACTCACGCGACCATTGTACGCTCAAAATTAGATTATCATAACCTTTACCGTTTAGTTTTTCCATTGCCCGCTGGGCAATAGCGCGCTCCTCAAAGGACACGAATGCAAAACCCTTGCCAATACCCGTCTCTCGGTCACGGCCGACGTAAACCCTCGCTACACGCCCGAATGTACCGAAAAGCTCGCGAAGATCGGATTCTTGCGTGTCTTCAGAGATATTGGTGACACGGAGTGTGGGGAGGTCTTCGCGAGAACCGCCTGGGCGTCCCATGGATTCACCAGGACGAGAAGCACCACCACGCATTGATGGTGGTACGTATTTTCCACCAGTCGCCCCGCTGGCTGCAGGAGCAGGTACGTCGGCCGCATCATCAGCTGGCGGTAGGTCTGTCCGTATCCGCGTCAATAAGATCGAGCATTAAGTGAATACGGAAAAGTACTAACCAGCAGTTTCGAGACCAGCGAGAGAGTCCTTATATGGACACTTGGCAGTAAAGTGATCGCCTTTGCAAAGACGACAGATAACCTTGCCTGCACCGGCCTTGGCAAGTTCGGTTTTGATATTTTGCTCGGGTGTCACCTCCGGCTCAGAGGACTTTTATGACTGTCAGTCTGATCCAAGAGCAGATGAACTTATAAACAAACCTTGTTGCCTGCACTAATTTTCAAAGTCACATTCTCTCCTACTGTGGTCGTCGCTCGATCTGGCCCTTCCTTGTTCCCTCGTTCCTTACCAAACTTGGCCCATTTCTTGCGTTCAGCAACTGTGTGCTCGACGACGGATTTTTGGAGCGTACGCTTTATTTTACGGGTTATCTTGCAGAAATTTATCAGTATATAGTATGAAAAAACGCCCGACATGGAAGATGGTACAGATGAGACATAGCATGCAGACCGCGAGATAGACGTACCTTGACCTTCTTTCCCTCATCATTTATAGCATACTCGATGGTGATACGGATGCCATTCTCATCCACGTAATCCTCAATCTTTGGTTGATCTATTTGAGAACGTTAGACTGCGATGTGATTGTGGACGCGAGGGTGGGTATTCACCAAGCTCGTCAACATCATCTGCCCAGGAAGTTTTGGGTATACTGTGAAAAAAACTGTAAACTTAACGGTCCGAACCCTGGAAACTTCCAACCTACGTTGCTGCCGCCATGTTATCACTGAATAAGTATGTTCCTGGTGCTGCATGGACTCTTTACAGAATAACGGTGGCAGTGCTGTCCACGTGATTGGAATTTTGCAGCCTCACATCTACAAGATTACTAGTCTCCACATCGCCCTCGACGTCCCCAAGCCCACGACATAATCGCCCTCTTCAATGGTAAGTTTTTGTCTTGCACATGTTTTGGTTAGAATACGCTGCAGGATCGGTTTGAAACACCAACAATCCGAGTCCAAGTGGTGGATTGATAACTCGCACTTTGGATGTAGTACCTCTATTGTCACAACCGCTAACGCGTTCCTCCCTTTGCGATGCGCAGGCCTCATTAGAACTTGCCGCAACTTACGCTGCACTTATCCTCGCCGATGAGGGTATTGAAATTACCGTGCGTATCTTGCAGGTTTCACATCCATATTTCTCGTAGCTCACGAGGCATATGCAGGCTGACAAAATACTCGCCTTGACTGACGCTGCCTCGGTCGAGCTCGAGCCAATCTGGGCAACTCTTCTTGCTAAGGCTTTGGAGGGAAAGAATGTGAAGGATCTGCTATCAAACGTCGGTGCTGGCGGAGGTGCACCGGCTGTCGGTGCACCCGTTGCTGCTGCCGCTGGTGGTGCTGCTGCCGCTGAAGCACCAAAAGAAGAGGAGAAGAAGGAAGAAGCAAAAGAGGAGTCAGACGACGATATGGTACGCGCTGAAGTCTCCCTTTCCAGTCACCACGGGGTGCTGATGTTCGTTCACAGGGCTTCGGGCTGTTCGACTAATCTGCAGTTTTCCTTTATTATGTTATTCATCCACTGCATACGTCACATGGGTTCACTCTCTACATCCTGCGTTGTATCCCTCGCGCCACTTTGTGCTACGCACAGAATTCAACATCTGAAACTCATCTGGATGATTGCTTGAGAACGATGAGAGCTTACTGATGATATAAACCTCATCCCGCAGTTGTCCTGCAGTCCGTTCAATTAATTGCTGTTGGTACAATACGTCATTCAAGCCAAAGTAATACCTGTAGCTGGAAAGCAACTGATCCGCAGGTTCCTGTAGTCGCAACTCGAGGACGCGGTGTTATTGAAACTATGCAGTAAAAATACAGGGAAGGTAAGGAAAACATAGTACTGAGGACCGTGACCATCATGATTGCATATTCAGGACGACAAATCAATTTCGTCAGTTGCCGTTGACAACACTGAAGGTGATGACCAGTGGCCGGAGGGAGGGTGCAGGACAGGAAAACCTAGGGAGGGACAACGAGAATCTGGCTGGATAGCATGGCCTTCGAAGGCGTGTGTCCGCCTACGGTACTTCATGTGCACGGCGAACAAGGCGATCTGTCGCGCAAGGAAATGGTTTGGTTTGAGGAACGGGCGAGGGACCGCGAAGGAGCGGTTGATATGACTATAATAATTATACGCGTTATCAATGGTTCGCGTTCGGTCTTTCTGCTCCAGAAGGTGTGGCCGCGAATACAGGTTGATCTAGTTCTATTATGAATGTTCAAATTTTGGTGTAATCACTCGTTACTGGCGTGTTTTCTTCTTCATTGTTCGGCCAAGCAGCCTCACAAGCATGAATTCGATACTACCTGTCATTTCCATAAATAACAAGCCACGACTTAGTTTGCGCATACAGCTCTTCTTGTACAAACGTTGATAGATATATAGAAAAATAAAGTACTTAGCCCGGTGGAGAAATAACCTTTATAACGCATCTTCAAATAATAATCTTCGTGGTTTGCTTATGTGAGGCGATGGTGAATATAAAGCAGGCCTGGGAAAGATACCGTCAGGAGTATGAATGGGTCACAGACTATGATCACACTTACATTGAAGTTCCGCAATTTGCAGCTGCGTTGCCCATAATAATACTTTCTGACACACCAGCGATACTGTCGTTCTTCCCGAAGGCTGCTGCATCAAACAAATGGTCCGTCGTCTTTTCGAACGAGGCAAGCATCAGAACGCTGTCCTTCATTTTTGCGACACCAAAGCGAGTGATACCAAGAACCTCTCCCTGTGTGCACAATTAGTAAGAGAAATCGATATTGCACCGCACTCGTACCTTGTAGCTCATGACATCGCCAAGCAACATGACATGACGGGGGTCAATGCTCATTCCGTGGCTCTGCATGGTATACTGGATTTCGTCGATTATGGTCCGTCTCGCTGCTTCAATCCCCAGGACTTTTGCTGACTCAATTACATGGTTGGAAGTCGTAGCCTCGCCAACAATCCCTACATCTAGATCAGCAAATCACGACTAGTTTGAAGAACAGAAAGGCCTACCCTCAGTAGTCATGACCCTCTGTAGTCCGTAACCTTCTACAAGTAGTTCCTTGTCTCCCTTTTTCCCCTTAACGTCGTCCTTCTCTTTGATGTTAATGACGGCGCGCTGAATAGTCGGCACTCCCTGTGGTAATGATTCAGATACTGATTACGGCCAAGACCAAATGATTGACCTTGACTACCACATCCGACAAAACTCGTTTCAATTCTCGCAACTTGTAGTATTTGTCTGTTCCATCAATATAGATGCGCAAGCGGTTTCTGCGAGGAATAACTGTAATGGACTATCGACAGTAAGTTTTGTGACAACATATACATGACACGGATCTCACTTCTTGTTTAATCTTGAGCTTTCTCGTGGCCACGATTGCCCACTTTATATCGTCCAAAGTGAGTTCAAGCTGATGCGACAAGTAAGCACAGATTGATAGATATGTTAATGGACTGACCTGGAGCTTCTGGATGGTATCCATATCTATAATTACACCAATATAAGTGTACTCTGGCGCCCATGCCTCTTCAAAAACAGCAGCAATCTGCACGAAATTTAGAATGACATCCTAGGGTCGTAGGCTAAAAATGTCTTACATCGCCCAAATGAGTTTTTTCAAGGCGGCCTTTGACTATACGTGCAGACGGCTCGCTGTTAGGAGTGACGAGCTTGCAGCTAATGATGGGCGTGCTAATAGTCTTGGATGCGTTAATGATTTCTTTGATTCGCGGAACACCAAGCGTGACGTTCATCGAAGCGACCCCAGCAAAATGGAAAGTTTTGAGGGTCATTTGTGTCCCTGGTTCTCCAATGGACTGAGCACCAACTGCACCCACAGTGGAACCTGCACTGCACTCAATTTCCCTGAAGGTAAATTGTATAGACTCCACTTACCGGGCTCAATCCTGGCTTTGACGTACTTTTTCCAGCACAAGGCAAGAAAATGCTGGAGCTGAGACTCAGTAACTTTGGCCTTGTT